TTATTTTTTTAAATCAAAACGACTTTCAACTATTACTGCCATAGCACTATCGCTGCCATAGCCCACAATGCACTTCGACCTTTGTTACAGCTGGTTCTGCTTATGGTTTAATTACTTGACAATTAAGTGACAGGCAAAGTGTATGGCATGTTTTTTGTTTCATAATTCGATTTTTTGTTTTATGGTCGATTTTATCACATATAACATTCAATTTATCACATATAACATTTGATTTATCACATATAACATTTGATTTATCACATATAACATTCGATTTATCACATATAGCATTTGATTTATTGCATATAACATTTGATTTATCGCATATATTTGATTATTTAATCCTATGTTATAATTATATGCAATAAATCGACAATAATTCCCTGCCAAACGTATAATTGCATCAATTGATACCATGCCTGTTAATTCGATTGTATTAGGCATTTACTGTTTTAAATGTTCACATTATTTGATTTTATATCAGAAAAGAGAATCAAACCATTCGATCCTGGCATCAAACCATTCGGTTTTGGAATCAAACCATTCAATTATGTAATAGAATCGTTCGATTTTGGAATCGAATCGTTCTATTTTGGATTTTGGTTAGCTATGACTAATGTGTTTGGGCATGATCAGCTTCTGATTAGTCTATCAGTATCAGTATATAGGCAAGAATTATTTTCATATAAATTTTGTCAGACAGCCAGACAGATACAGTTAACATGTACAGTTTATATGTCTATACTGGCTGGCTGCTGGCTGGCTCTCTCCACACTTACCGGTCATGGTACCGGTTCCTGTATTATGTAGATCCCTCCTGCACGCACCGCATCGAACCATTAGACTCTGAATTTCCCGCACTGCAATAACCGCCAGCTGATGCCATTTCGAGTAGTTGACCGCTTCATTCGCCAGGGGCAGCATCATCGAAACGCTTAACAAGCAGGGTATAAGAAGTGTCCAGTCTGTGTATCCGTTAGTCTGTGGGTTTACGCCAGTGGGTCAGCGCCAGCAAGCACTGCGTCATTTCCGTAGATGGTTCGAGAACGTCACTCGTCGTGCGTGACGATATTTCCGTAGAAGGTTCTGGAATAACCACACTCGTCGCGCGTGACTGATCGCCACGCGATTAAGAAGAAAGCAAATGCGTACGTCACACGAGAGAGAGCTTTTCAGGCTGGGAGTAAATACATATGTCGCCGCACGGCAGTGATAGTTTTCAGCCGCGGGTTTTGTGTAGTGTGTAATCAGACGTATATAATCTGTATTTGGAATCACTGAGTAGAATAAATTATCTAATCTGTTACAACAAAGACGTGTCATCTTTACTGTGATCTTCATCGTCACTCGTCCTTACGTCGCACGAGAAACAAGAGAAGCTGACAATCAGTGACATCCTTCAAGCGGAAACGCAAACACGAAACGAACAACGAATTGGGTTTATACTAATACATTAAAATACGATCACACATCTACGACGAATCAAGAACACAACGCAAGGATTGTACATCACAACTGCGGCCATACCCTAAACGCCATTTCACTGGTGTAGTTTCGACCATTTCGATTCGTGCGGAAGGAGTCGGCAGTGCGAGCGGGAAACAGTGAAACAAGAAAGATACAGTAACGGCGAATGACTACGTGAGTAATATGTTACACATTGTAGCATCGACGTCAGCACCGAAGTATCCAGAACTGTAATGTCGACATTCGAGTGCTAGCATCAGCATTAGCGTCATCGTCAACAGCGACGGCAGCTTTCCATCGTCAACGTCGACCGCAGCATTATCAGAGCCAGCAGTAGCCACAAGTTCCCATCTCGCTTAACACTACGTGGCGAGAGGACGTCGTGTAATAGAGCTGTCGTGTAACAGTCGGAGAGCCTGGTCGGTTTAAGCCAGCAGCAACAACGTCGATCGCCGCAGCGTGAACACCAGCGTCAGCATCGGCGTCAGCAGTAACAGTAACAGCAATAACAGCAGCAGCGACATCCGAGCGTCAGCAGTAACATCAGCGTCATCGTCAGTGTCACCGTCAACGTCGACAGAGGCAGTATCGTCAACGGCGGCAGTGACAGCAACATTACCATCCCATCGTCCGAAACTCTTAAGAAACTTACTGTAGGCCTACAGTGTCGGACCTGCGTGTACATGTTCTAGCACGCATGCAGCGAGAACAGACAACGCGACCTTGAGCGGCGGCAACACAACAGCGGCACGCATCAGCGCGCACCAGCGCGTAGCCACTTCCCCCACCCCCCATGAACCGGTCTAGAAGGCATGCATAATTTGGGTACGGCATATACACGTATATAGTGCTCAGCTTGTTAATGTATATTGTATAACGTATAACAACCTAAGAGTTAATATTCTAGCCGTTCACGGTTGTAAGGGAATAATTCGCTGTACGATCTGTTACCTAATTCTATCCCCGTCATGGATCTAACCGCCTCTCAGCAGACACCATCGCGCACCTCCGTCCTGCAAGTGGGGTTACTAATTAAAGTGGTAAAGGCATTGAGTGCTTTCACCATTTCTCAAGCGTTTTCTGGGGAAGAAGAAGGGTTAATTACCGTCGATGAGTGGAGGAGTTTGCAACGATTAGCTCTGATTGTAGGAGAAGATGATGATTTGAAATCAGCGCATTTGGATGTGTGTCTTCTGACAGGAGAAGCCGCTAAATTCGTGTCTGATACCTTATATTGTACACCGGAAATTGGCTGGACACAGCTTGGTCCTATGCAATACGAAGATAACACGCACATGGCGGTTTCTCTAAAGAAATTTAAGCGCGACAGGCAGGAACGTCACGAAACTGTGTCTACCTTTGCCAAGCGCCTAGAGGCAGAGGCTAGAGCAGGATTTGGGGAGCACGCGTATAAAGATGCCTTCGTTCAGTCTCAAGTGGTGGAACAATTCGTAGATGGAATAAGATCAGTAGAGATTAAAAGAGAATTAATTAGCGGCCGTTTCCCCACACTCGAAAAAGCAGCGGAACTTGCTATCAGAGAGGCATCTATCGACCAAGAAGTAAGAATGCGTAGAGCACGACTTGACGAATTAAAGGCCATGGAGGTAGATAACGTGGAAACTGTGCCCATCACCCATAAAGAGATTCAAGAAATTCGTGGCATCGTAGCGGAGCTAATGGCCATAGTATCAAAGCCACAGCCGTCATATAACAAGGGAAACACCCCGCGCACAGCACAGCAGGCAAGATACGAGGCATACGAGGCACGATACGAGGCACGATACGAGGCACGAGGCACGATACGAGGCACGATACGAGGCACGACTGGCGACCAACCATATATGCAGCGTCAACCAGCGACGTGGAGGCAGTCTACGTGCCCTAATTCTCAAAGTAGCGCAGCGTGGCAGCGTACGGTAATGAGGGAGCCATTCGAAAGACCACAATACGCACCACCACCTGGCGTTTGTTATCAGTGGACTTCAAACAACCAGCCAATATGTTTGGCCTGCGGTAAAGTAGGTCACCGCTGGAGGCAATGCAGATCATAGGAGAAGTGACAATCCCACTTGTTATTGGACGCTACCGTACGAAATTTTGATTTCAAATAGTCGCACACCTACGTAAAGCAGCCATATTAGGTTATGACTTCATGAAGACAGTCGGTATGAGGATCGATTGTCAAAAAGGCATTTTATCAGTGGGAAGATCAGTAGTCACATTAAAGACAGCGTTAGCAGAACAAGAGGATAAACATATTCAGCTTGTTCTACTCAAGAAAAAAGTACAGATTCTGCCACGTACGGTCGTCATCTGCGAAGGCAAGTTAAGAAAAGGCGTACCTGCCAACACAACAGTAGTGATTACAGGAACAGATGTGTTACCTGCACTGCGAGATCAGCCAGGTATATTCCCTGTAGAAACATTAGTCATTGTTAACAAGGCTCATTGTATCAAGTTTCCGATGGTCAATACTACAGACACAATATATTCGTTTGACAATAATAGTGTCATCGCCTTGGTCCAATCAGTTAATGAAAAACAGATAGCATTCGTCAAGATAGAAAAGGCATCTAAACATGCAGGTGCACACTATGTGACAAGCAATAAACATAAAGAAAATTTATCAACGCCTACTCTACCCAAGGTCAACCTTGATCACGTACCAGTACATCAGCGTGGAGCTCTAGAGGAGCTATTAATGCAAAACAGCGACTTGTTTGCTGAAAGCAGTCTTGACCTAGGACGTACCAACTTAGTAACGATGACAATAGACACCGAAGGACACCCACCTATACGACACGCCATATTGAACACCGATTAATTATCGACCTATGATTGATCATCATGTGAATCAGCTATAAGAAGCCAAGATAATAGAACCCAGCAATAGCGCGTGGGCAAGTCCAACCTTCATCGTTCACAAGAAAGATGAACCTGAATGACGAATGGTCATAGACTACAGGTAGCTTAACAAGGTCACAAAGAAGGACACATATTATCAATTACCCTGTATATACAAGATATCCTTGGATCGTTAGGAAACTCACGTTTTTATTCAACTCTTGACCTAAAGTCGGGCTACTTCCAAATAGCAATGGCAGAGGAGGACAAAGCCAAGATTTGTTTTATCACCTGCAGAGGTGCATTCCAGAAGATATGTCCTTTCATTTGGCTTATCAAACGCGCCTAGCGTTTATCAAAGATTATTAGATACCGTATTAAATGGATTACATCACAGGTGTGCCATTCAATACATAGATAACATAATCATTTTCAGCCAAACCTTCGAACAACACCTATTAGACTTCGAAGTAGGAGATCCGGTATACTACCATGATCCAGTGTTAAAGCCTAACACTATAAGGAAACCTGGGTCGCCCTGGCAGCCGTACTACACGGTGATTCAGGTATTGACGCCGAAAAAATACCTGATCCAACACGAGATTACGACGCGAGAAGTGATCTCGTACGTGGAAAACATTCGGGCAGCGCACCCACAAGCTAGGTGGGACTGCAGCAAGCCGACACAGCAAGAAGATGTGCCAGAGAGAGGACGTCGGCAGCGACATTGGCATATCCACCTGACGAGGAGGGTAGTGGTAATGATGAGTTCGATGAGAAAGACGAACTTCCCCTAAGTCATTTCATCACAACGCCCAAGGCACAGGCTTCAGCGGATTCTACGGAGCAACCGCAGCCGCCAATGTCTCGTGCAGTTGATCCAATCGCGAAGGATTCATCTGCAAGGGACATTGAGGGTCAGGAGCCTAACACCACTCAGCAACTTGGCGAAAGTGATGATGAGACGATCATCTACAACCCATCGGAGTCGGAAAACGAATCCACTAGCTTTAATGTGGAATCAGATTTAGAAGAGGATACCGGCAGTGAGCACTCGGCCAGAAGACGAAAAGCAAGCGAGGAATCAAGTTCCCCGACACAGGCAGTAAAAGATTAACTGCGCATGAAGGCAACGTGAGCGAGCCTAGCGATACGATAGTGGAAGTCGATGTCATAACGACGGCTCCAAGAAGGGCGCATCTAATGGTGCCCATTGTCATTGTACAAGAGCCTGCCGAATCAAGAAGAGATACGACCCGGATGAATTGGCTCACACGTTTACTGGGAGACGCATGGACGAGACGCTGAGAGATCCTTTGTATCTCCTTCATATTATGTCCGTGCCTTTTCCCTATAATTCAGCCTTTCTCGTGGCGGCTCGAATTAGCACTACGCGTAAGATTAGCGCTGAGCACATAGTGTAGTGTCGTACACGCATGCAGGCCTACGTTTGAATTCGAGTAAGGCCCTTACGAGTATCATTAGCTGTGTTTATCAACGTGTTGGTTTGAATTTAATGTTTACACGCGCGTTAGTGAAGTTTGTTAAGGGTACCTTAGTTAAGGAAAGTTTTAGGTCACATATCGCGATCATAGTGCACGTATTCACATAGTAGTAGTAGTAGTAGTTGAAGTCTTTTCACGATGGCGGAACATGAATGGAATAAATTCAAGAAAGAGATAAACGCAAAACGTATGAAGAAGAAAACAGGAAAGGAGAAGCCGACACGTGAGACGCCAGACGACGACACCATAGTCGTGCAGCGACTGAGCGCTGAAGTTTCTGGAAAGGCACAGAAGTATGCGAGAGTAGGTGCCAGAGAATTTGTGGCCTTCAACGAATATGAAGAATTTACAGTGGACAACATCAAGAGTGCTTGCATCAAGCATTTTGACATTCCACAAGAACTGATGTGTTGTGATGTTCTCGCTGGAGAGCAAGGACCGTCATGCTATTCAGCGAAACAGATACCCGATTTTAAAGTTATTCACGTGCGCTTCGTTGAACGCACAGAAGTGGCGGAGGCTACGACATCTCACGCAGTACCACAGAAGAGGAGCCTGGTCCATCCTTCCAACCCTTCACCCTCGAAACGTGCAAGACTAAACGTTGCACCGAGCAAGTTCGTGCCAAGAATTATCGTGCCATAAAACAAAAAATCGAATTATGAAACAAAAAACATGCCATACACTTTGCCTGTCACTTAATTGACAAGTAAGCAGAACCAGCTGTATCAAAGGTCGAAGTGCATTGTGGGCTATGGCAGTGATAGGCTATGGCAGCGATAGTTGAAAGTTGTTTTGATTTGAAAAAAGAAAAAAGTGCAATTTTCTTTATGGCAGTCCTAGGCCACGGTAAAGCTCATATAAGTTGGTTAAGGGTACCTTAGTTAAGGAAAGTTTTAGGTCACATATCGCGATCATAGTGCACGTATTCACATAGTAGTAGTAGTAGTTGAAACTAGTTGTAAGCGCGAAACGCTATGCGCAACGGCATACGCGGCATAATTGTACAAATAGTACGGGGAAATTTTGAGACGCCTGTTTTTGACAATTGAGTCGAGAAACATTTTCTGGTAGGGGGCGTGTGTAGCCGTGCTACGCGGGTTTTCGGGCCCGCAAGCACAGCGTCATTTTCGTAGATGGTTCGAGAAGGTCACTCGTCGTGCGTGACGATATTTCCGTAGAAGGTTCTGGAATAACTCGTCGCGCGTGACAGGTCGCCACGCGATCAAGAAAGCAAATGCGTACGTCGCACGAGAGAGAGCTTTTCAGGCTGGAGTAAATACATATGTCGCCGCACGGCAGTGATAGTTTCAGACTTTCTCAGCCGCGGGTTTTGTGTAGTGTGTAATCAGACGCATATAATCTGTATTTGGAATCACTGAGTAGAATAAATTAGCTAATCTGTTACAACAATTAAGACGTGTTATCTTTACTGTGATCTTCATCGTCACCGCCTTACGTCGCACGAGAAACAAGAGAAGCTGACATCCTTCAAGCGGAAACGCAAACACGAAACGAACAACGAATTGGGTTTATAAACTAAGACATTAATACGATCACACATCTACGACGAATCAAGAACACAACGCAAGGATTGTACATCGCAACGAAGACATTAATGCAATAACACGTATAAATCCATTTCAGAAAGAGAAAGAGCGAGGGGCAGAGAGAGAAAGAGAGGAGCAGAGAGATAAAGAGGGAAGGTGACAGAGAGAGGACGTGGGAGCGTGAGAGAGGGGACAGTGAGAGAAAGAGAGGAGCAGAGAGATAAAGAGGGAAGGTGACAGAGAGAGGACGTGGGAGCGTGAGAGAGGGAACAGTGAGAGAAAGAGAGGAGCAGAGAGATAAAGAGGGAAGGTGACAGAGAGAGGACGTGGGAGCGTGAGAGAGGGAACAGTGAGAG